CTGGCTTGCACCTATCAAACAGTGATTAACACTACTGAGTACCCTCAAGGGAAGGAGGAGGTCGCTGAATCTGATGACCAGATAAGAAACACTGTGGCTAAACCAGAGGGCCAACCATCTGTGGTATCAGTTGGACCCATAGCCAAGACAAAACAATGGAAACAGAACTCAGCTCATTTAGTAAGGGAAGTCCCAGGAGGGAGAACTGAAATAGGCAGGCGGCTCTAAAGCAGAGTCATCACAAAAACAGGAGGAAGAAGAGACAGAAATCAAAAATGAATCAGAAACCACCCGATCCCTATCCCTGAAAGAGTTGCGAGATATACAAAGGGATTTCAGCCATCACCCAGGTGAGCACATCCTCACCTGACTGCTTTGATGCTTGGATACTGGGGCAGGTAGCCAGGAACTAGAAGGCAAGGAAGCCAAGCAGCTGGGATCCCTCTCTAGAGAAAGGGTCATTGACAGAGAAAATGGGAGAGAGCCACAAGTTCTCATCCTCTGGAAGCAACTCCTGTCAGGTGTGAAGGAAAAGTATCCCTTCAGGGAAGATATTGTATATCACCTAGGCAAGTGGACCACCATGGAGAAAGGTCTCCAGCACCTGAGGGAATTAGCTGTGCTGGAGATGGTCTATAGTGATGTGGACAATGACCAGACACCCAAAGATCCCAATAAAGCCCAGTGTATGCCGTTCATGTGGCAGAAGCTTGTACAGGGTGCACCATCATTGCATGCCAGCACGCTGTCAGCTATAAATTCAAAAGATGGGATGGGACCAACAGTAGATATTGTATCCAGCCAGTTTCAGCAATATGAAGAAAATGTCTCTGCACCACTATGGACTTGCATCTCAGCTGTGGAGAAACTGTCCCAACAGGTCCACCACCTTGAAGAAAATATATCTTCCTCCTCACCCAGATGGAGCAATATTTCAGCCATTAAGAGTCAGCATTTTCCTGCTTGAGGGAGAAAGTACCCAGGATGCACAGCACGTGGCACCCTGTGGTTTTATCTGTGTAACCATGGGGAATATATGAGGAAGTGGGATGGAGAGCCTACCTCGACCCTAGCAGCTCGGGTACATGAACTGAAAGGAAATACAGCAGCCAAAAGGGGGTTTCCTAGGAAAATTACTGCTCTGTTTTTTGTTGGGCAGTCCCCCAGAGGGAGTAGAAAGGCTGATGTTACTCCTGACACTGATGAAGGAACCTCTGCTTCGCATTTGCAAGAATTAAGAGACAGATACTCCAACCAGGACTAGAGGGGCTCTGCCTCTGGACAGGCAGAGGAAAGGGATAACTGGATTTACTGGACTACGTGGATCTGATGGCCTGGCACATCAGGTCCACAAGAGTACAACACTCTAGTGGACACCGGCACACAGTGTACCCTAATGCCATCAGGCTACCAAGGGGCAGAAACCCTCTGTATTTCTGGAGTGACAGGGGATCCCAACAGCTAACTGTATTGGAGGCTGAAGTGAGTCTAACTGGGAATGAGTGGCAAAAGCACCCTATTGTGACTGGCCTGGAGGCTCCTTGCAACCTTGCCATAGACTACCTCAGGATAGGATATTTCAAGGACCCAAAAAGTGTACCAGTGGGCGGTTGGCATAGCTGCCTTAAGTACAGAGAAGATTAAGCAGCTGTCTACCCTGCCTGACCTCTCAGAAGACCCCTCTGTTGTGGGGTTTGCTGAGGGTTGAAAAACAGCAGGTGCCAGTCGCTATCACAGTGTACTGGGTCTGGCTGGAATGTTAACTTTCCCGGCAGCAGCCCATACAGTGCTGTGCTCTGCACTTGTAGCTGGAACAGCAGTGTTATCACACCAGTGTTGTGTCTACTGCTGAGCAGCAGTGGCACAGCATCTCTAACCCTCCTAGGGGGTGGGCAAAAAGTGAGGAGAGAAACATCACTAGGGCAGCTGACCTAAACCAATCAAAGGGATATTCCATACCATGTGATGTCACACTCAGCAATAAAAGGTGGAAACAGGAAGAAGAGGGGAGGGGTGGGCTCTCGTTGAGAAGACGTCGGTCCTCCTCCCGAACACTGGCTACGTGCGTTGAGGCCCTGCTTCAAGGACATGGTCAATCATTGCTCATTTGTGGGAAGTAGAGAGTAATTTCTTTCCTCTGCACTTCCACATAGCCTTCATTTATTTTGTTTGTTTGTTTTCCTCCCTTCTTTTTATTTTTCCTTTTCCCCTCCCTTTTCCCCTTTCCCTTTTTATTTCCCCTTAGTTAAATTGTTTAGTTCATGGTAGTCTTTATTTAATTGTTATTATTATTTCACTTTAATTAAATTATCCTTATCTCAACCCGTGAGTTGTTCTTTGCTTTACTTCTCCCCCTCCTCATCTAAAGGAGGGGGAGTGAGAGAGCGGTTGTGGGGTTTAGCTGCCCAGCACGGTAAAACCACCACACACAGCTGTGCACCGGCAGCAATATCACACCAACCGAGACTCCCTGATTCCCATCCATGAGCTGGTTCATCAGCTGGAAAGCAAAGGAGTGATCAGCAGGACTCACTCACCTTTTAATAGTCCCATATGGCCAGTGAGAAAGTCTAATGGTGAGTGGAGATTAACAGTGGACTATCGTGGCCTGAATGAAGTCACGCCACCGCTGACTGCTGCAGTGCCTGACATGCTAGATCTCCAGTACGAACTGGAATCGAAGGCAGCCAAGTGGTACGCCACAATTGATATCGTTAATACATTTTTCTCCATCCTTTTAGAAGCAGCGTGCAGGGTAAAACCACCACAGCAGGGTAAAACCACCACAACACTGCAGGCATATGGTGTGGGGATAGATTTGACCCCATTTCCTCCAAGCTTGCTTTTTAAGAATGACTCATACCCTTCACATTGAAACACGTACTGAGCTGGTGGTGCATAAATAAAGAGGCTTCAGTCAGTAGTCAAGCCTCACTACAGTAAGAGCTGTGCAGACACACTAAATTCCTCTGCCCTTCCTCATGAGTAAACTATCCCTATTTTTGTGTTACACAAAGAGTTCAGTCTCAGAAGGCTGGAGAGAATAATAAAAAATAAGCTGTTTAATTACATCCCATCTGACATGCCATACACTATCCTCTCACCTTGGATGAACACTTTCTGTAGAATTTGGGTAGCCTCTTATACAAGGAATTTCTGAATTTGAGACCATAAGGAAATATGTACTTACAACCATCATTTTAGTATTTATGTTGCCAGTTTCATAGATTGAACACTCACCAAAATTCAACATTTGGGCATTGTAACAAATGAAACATTCTAAAATTTTATGAACATATGGCAACAACAACAACAACAAAAAGCTCTCCTTCACATCAAACAGTAGAGAAGACACAAAGGACCCTCATCAATTTTGGCAACTTATTGTTTAAAGATTGAGCAGTGCTGAAAAAACACATACTTTACTGGTTGACATAGAGATGTTGATTAATTCCAGTCACATGCAATTAAGCTGTAATTCAACACAATGACAGGCTCAGACAGGTCTAGACAAACAAGAAAAACAACAAAAAATACAATTCCTAAAGGATTCTATAATATATCTATAGAAAAAAAAAAAAGAAGAGAGAGGCGCATAATCTTTCATTTATCATATAAAAATAGAGTATTTAATTCATGCAATGCTATTCAATGCTATTAAGAGATAACACCTTAAAAAGACAGCAAAAATTATTAAACACACTAGAATATTTTGCTGAAGAAGCAGCATAGGATCTTTTTTCCCCATGAAGTTTTAAAGATGAAGTTTTGTACATGTTAAAGATCTGTTGGTTTTCAAACCAGGGAAAAAATAGAGGCATATCTTTTCCTTAAATCTGACCATATTTTACTCTTTATAGATATGGGCAGATATGACAAAGTCTGCTATAATCTATGCTGCAAAAGGAATAATTAGTTACATAAGACATTTTGGTACATTATACAAGACCATCAGGTCAATGCTGTCATGTTAGTAAGACATCACGATCTCTTTGTCAACAGTGTATAGTAACTGACATTAGGAATGTGATACAGTAGCATGATACAACATTTCATGGCCCTTTTCACCATACTTAAGAGATGTTGCTGAAGCTGGAATTTATAACGTTTATTAGTACTAGGTTGTACTGGTCAACGTGCACATGGCCACAATGATTTCACCAATGAAAGCAAACTGTACTCCTTTGAAAAGGCTATATATTTTTATATGAAAACCAAGATTCATTTTCACACATGCTCATTCAGCATTTGTGTTAAAGTAATAAGATGTTAAAACTTACCAAACACTTCAGTCCCATGCAACCAGAACAAAATCAAGTTTTACAACTCAATTTTTTTTTTTAATTTTTATGTTTAATTTTATGAATCCTCTAAAGGAAGGACAGCCTTGAAAAGGAAGCAGATTTAGTCTCATGAGTCCTGTAAAATGTTAACTTTCTCATAAAAAACAAAGATCCTGTAAGCCAAGATAGACCCTTCACCCCTCAGCTTTTTATACCAAGAAAAAGTTCCAAGCCATTGAGGGAGAAACACAGCTTGAGCTACACTTGTACAACAGCCGTGACACCATTTCTGGCTCTGTCAAACTGTAGAGCTAAGCTTTCAGGTTATTTTTTGTATGTGCTCTACCTACCACAATAAGGAACAGCTTAAGTCTCCAAGACTAATAGATTGACACTACATAAGCTGTTCGGTCAAAAAGTAAATTTCAGTTAATTTTAATGGTGCCCCAAAACTAAAATGTATTACTAAAGTAATCATGATCATATACACATCAAGCTAATGTAAAAAACTGAATATTTTAAAGTTTCATTTAAGCGACAGCTTCAGTAAGTGACATTTACTTTTGACAGAAAGTTAAGACAAATTTAAACTGTATTTTAAAATAAAGGAAAAAAGTATTCATTGTAAAGAACCAGAGACAAAAATGGGCCATCAGATACCTAAGCATATTTATTAATTCTCCTCTCAAAAAAAATGATAAACTTCCAAAAACTCACCTTTAACTTCAGGAGAGAATCGAGCTGAATGGCGAGACACAAAAAGTTTCAGTTCTTGATCTAAATTGCACTCAATCAAGTTTGTGTCCCATGACCGGATTCCTAAAATTCAGAATACAAAACATCTAGCTTGACATATGAACATTAGAAGTTATAAATCACTATTACTAAATTTAAATTCTTGTTATTTACATATTTTTAAATTCCAAAAGCAGCCTCTCTTCCTTTCAAGCCACACAACCATCTTCTGCAAAGTGCTGAGTGCTCAGAAGCACTCTGGACAGGGATCAGTCAAAAGCAAGAAGAAATTTGCCTTTCCAAGAGGTAACATTCCTTTAAGGCCCTGCATCCAAGTAGTGACATTATGAGAAGTTATTGATGTCCCTGAATTTACTTTAGAATAGCAATTTACAAAATTGTAGAGTGAATCACTCAGGCGATACTTTAGCCACATTCCACAGCCACTTTATTTGTCCCCCTGTGAAAAAAGAGCATCATCTAGCATGTTGTAAATTAATATTTAAATATGATGTATTAAAATGCTGACCTCTTCATTGAAAAGCTTTGAAGCATCCCATATTTTAAATTAAAATTTAAGTGATCTTTTATTTATTAAATATTAAAATCTAGTTTTGAGATTTAAAAATAGATCTTTTTGATCTTTTTCTTTAAAAATAAATAAATAAAAATAAATATCACATCTTTACTCCCTATAACTTCCCCCCCAGCTACTTCAAAAGTAAGACACTTGACATATAATGTGAACATAAAAAGATATTTTGAAAGCAGACATTTTAAGGACTGAAATTTGACTGGGGAAAAAGAAAAAACTTCACAGCAGCCAAAAGATAAACATATAAATTCCTACCATAAGATTTTTATGAAAAAAAAACCAAACAAACAAACATAAAACCACCAACACTACTAATAGAAGAATATGTTTTAACATTTTTCTACAATTTTCTTGTTTAGCTTTGAAAAATAATGAGTAGTTGCACTAAAGGTAAGCCTAGGTACTGCTGTGATTTTGATTCCAACAGAATGTCATTAGGCTTATACAAATCAACTGGAAAATACAGAATGGAGTGCAGATGACGAAGGATCTAGTGGCCCCTTCCCACATGCCCGAACATGTCTTTGCATGAAATTGTTGAGTTAAATCACTTTCTGATTTGGTACCTTTTTGGGGTGGAAGAAATGCCTGAAGAGGCGCATGGCCAACCCCTTACCATGAGACTAGCACTACAGGCTGCTAACTTTCCTGTCAACACTACCTCTCATATTTTATTCTCTTTCAAGGCAGCAGAAATGTCAAGCCTCACTCTGGTAGAGGCCATGTTGTAGGGTTGAAGGATAAGGAAGAAAAAGAGGGGGAAGAGTAGATAAACCCGATCTGTACTGCTGATCTCCCATTGAAGCTCTGATGAGGTTCTCTATGCAGTTATGGATATCTGCATTTCAAGAGTCTGATCCTTCTTCTGAGATAACTCATTGAGCACTTTTCCTTGTCAGTAGGACAGTCAAGGTATGAACTAGTAGTGTATCCCTGTAAGAAGCATGTGCTATTAAGTAGTTGGTATTTTAAGCTTTACATAGATTTCAAAATACAGCATTGCCTGTATGTTTCTTTGAAGCTCTTCTAAAATATAACTGAACTATGATCATCTACTTCCACTTAATCACTTATGCATCATTGTTCAGAGGCATAAGCAACAAGTATCCTTCTGCAAGTCTCCTGATTTTCATTTCTCAGAAATCTCTTGGCCATATGGTATATTTGGTATTGACAGGCAAATACAACGTAGCAAGCTTTAATGTTTTCCAGGTGTTGGAATATTTGAAAAGAGGAAAGTAAAGACTATATAACACCATGCATGTACAGTGCATTTGAAAACTGATGAGTAAACTGATATTGATCATGAGGCTGATGTATGTTGAATGAATGAGTGCTGAACTTCAAGAAGCTAGAAGACAACAGGTCACTAACAGCAAGCTTGGGAGGGGGGGTGCTTCAAAGTTTTCTGGAAATCAGTTAAGCAAAATTGACTATAATTCAGCAATACTGTTAATGATGAGCCTGTCCACCATCCTTAACCACAGGGTCACAGAATTGTAGGGGTTGGAAGGAACCTCTGAAGATCAAGTCCGAGACCCCTGATAAAAGCAGGTTCCCTACAGTAGGTTGAGCAGGAAAGCATCCAGGCAGGTCTTGAGACCAGATCTCCAGAGAAGGAGACTCCCCAACCTCTCTGAGCTGCCTGTTCCAGCGCTCTGTGACCCTCACTGCAAAGAAGTTCTTACACATTTGTGTGGAACTTCCTGTGTTCCCATTTTTAGCCATTGCCCCTTGTCCTATTGCACACCACTGAAAAGAGCCTGGCCCCCATCCATTTTCCTCCTGCATTTTAGATATTTATAAATGTTGATCAGATCCCCTCTGTCTTCTCTTCTTCAGGCTGAGCAGACCCAGGTCTCTCAGTCTTTCCTCGTATGGAAGATGTCCCAGGCCCTTAATCATCTTTGTGGTTCTCCTCTGGACTCTCTCTAGATCTCTTTTTTGAACTGGAGAGTCCAGAACCAGACACAGTATTCCAGATGTGGCCTCACCAGAGCAGAATAGAAGGGGAGGATCACCTCCATTAACCTGCTGGCCTTGACCTTTTTAATGCATCCCAGGATGCCATTGGCCTTCTTGGCCACAAGGGCATACTGCTGTTGTCCACCAGGACCCCTAGGTCCTTCTCTGCAGAGCTCCCCTCCAGCAGGTCAGCCCTTAACCTGTACTAATGCCTGCAGTTATTCCTCCCCAGGTGCAAGACTCTACACTTACTCTTGTTTAACCTCATCAGGTTCCTCTCTGCTCAACTCTCCAGCCTGTCTAGGTTTCACTGAATGGCAGCGCAGCCTTCTGGTGCACCACTCCTCCCAGTTTTGTATCATCAGCAAACTTGCTGAGGGTGGACTCTATCACTTCGTCCAGGTAACTGATGAAGATGTTGAACAAAACTGGACCCAGTAACAACCCCTAGGGAACATCACTAGCTACAGGCCTCCAACTAGACTCCGCACCACTGATCACAATCCTATGAGCTCTGCCAGTCAGCCAGTTCTCAATCCACCTCACTGTCCACTCTTCCATCCCACACTTCCTGAGCTTCATTAAAAGGATATTTTGGGAGACATTGTGAAAAGCCTTGCTGAAGGCCATGTGGACAACATCTACTGCTCTCCCCTCATCTACCCAGCCAGTGATGACATCACAGAAGGCTACTAGATTGGTCGAGCATGATTTCCCCTTGGTGAACCTATGTTAACTATTCCTGATAACCTTCTTCTCTTCAAATTGCTTGGAGATGGTATCCAGAACAAGTTGTTCCATCACCTTTCCAGGGACCAGTGGTAAGGCTGACTGGCCTGTAGTTGCCTGGGTCTTCTTTCTTGCCCTTTTTGAAGACTGGCATGACATTGGCTATCCTCCAGTCATCTGGTACCTCTTTCCATTCTCCATGGCCTTTCAAAGATGATAGAGAGTGATTCAACAATCACATCTGTCAGCTCCCTAAGCACACATGGGTGCAGGGAACATGGATTTGTGTGCACTGATTCTGGCTAGATGCTCTCTGATCAGATCTTCCTCAACCAATGGGAAGTCTTCCTTTCTCCAGACTCTCTCTTTTACCTCCAGGGTCTGGGATTCCCAAGGGGCAGTCTTAGCAGTAAAGACTGAAGCAAAGAAGGCGTTCAGCATTTCCACCTTCTCAGTGTCCCCTGTTACAAGGGCACCCACCTCATTCAGTAGCGGACCCAAATTTTCCCTAGGCTTTTCTTTTTATGTCGATAGTAAAAGGAAGACTTTCTTGTTACCTTTGACCTCTTTTGCCAGATTTAATTCCAAATGGGCCTTAGCCTTCCTTGCCGCATCCCTATGGGTCCTGACAGCATTCCTGTATTCCTCCTAAGTGGCCAGGCCTTTTTTTCCACATTTCATAGACTTTCTTCTTTCCTTTGAGTTTATTCATGAGCACCTTGCTCATCCACGCAGGACCTTTGCTACCTTTCCCTGCTTTTTTGCTCTTAGGGATGCACCGATATGAGCTTGGAAGAAGCTGTGTTTAAGTGTCAACCAACTCTCTTGGGCCCCCTTACCTTCCAACACTCTAGCTAGGATACCTCCAAGTCGGTCCTTGAAGAGGTAGAAGTTGGCTCTCCTGAAGTCCAGGGTTGCAATCCTACTAACTGCTTTGCTTCTTCCACACAAGATCCTGAACTCTATTATCTCTGATCGCTGCATCCTAGGTTGCCCTCAACCAGCCCTTCCTTGTTAGTAAGAGCAAGGTCCAGCAGAACACCTCTCCTCATTAACTTTCTGATACAGATGGTAGAGGAGCTATCTTCAATGCATTGCAGGAACCTCCTGGACCATGTGTGCCTGGAAGTGTTGCTTATTCAATAAATATCAGGATGATTGAAGTCCCCCATGAGAATCAGTGCTTGTGAACATGAAGCTACTTCTAGCTGTCTGTAGAAAGCCTGTAGGTGGTCTGTAGTAAACACCCACAGCAGTGTCACCCATGTTAGCCTGCTCCTTAATTCTCACCCACAAGCTTTCCACTCATTCATTATTCACCTCCAGGTGACGCTCGATACATTCCAGTTGCTCTCTCACATAAGGAAATGCTTCACCACCTCACCTCCCTGACCTGTCTTTCCTAAAAAGGACATAACCATCCATGACAGCATTCCAGTCATGTGAGCTGTCCCACCAAGTCTCCGTGATCACAGTGAGATCATGGCCCCGTGACCGCACACGGATCTCTAGTTCTTCCTATTTATTCTTCATGCTGCATGCATTGGTATACAGGCACTTTAGGGAAGCAGGGGGTACAGGTATCCCTAGAGGGATGCAAGAGGATTTCCCATAGGTATACTCACTGTTGAAGTAGCTGGTCTTATGGCTTCTGTCATTGGAGGCAGCTAAGGAACATTTGTTGCTCATTAGGCTGGCCTGGCTCATTCCCCAGTCCATTGCAATGGCACAAGCATTGTTATTATGGACCCCACCCCCCAAGTCCTTCAGTTTAAAGCACACCTCACTAGGTTAGTCAGCTTGTTGACAAAGACTGCCTCTGCTAGACCTTTGTCATGAATCCAGATTTGTGGTAGGGATAAAGTTCTGATTGATTAGGCATAGTCAAGCTGCTGAGCCAGTGTCCAAAATACACCACTCAATGTAAAATAGATAGCTAAAAAAGCCTAGACATACCATGTGCATGGTAGTCCTAGAAGCTGAAATTGGGATTTAGATAGAATATCCCAGATCTGCAGCTGCATGATTCAGCATTCTGAATGCAAAAATTGTACATGTACATTATAATCTAGTATAATGTATTATATTCATTATATAACCAAATCATGTTTGGATAGAACAGAGATAAGTCTGGAAGTAAAATTCAAGGTCAAACCAATGATGTACAGCATTAACAGGATGGAATTAACTACTGGAAGTATGACTGAGCTGGAGCTATTTCTTTCTGAAGTCTTAGGAGTGCAATGCCACTAGACACAGGGCTAATCAGACAGCACACCCAGTAGCATCTGCTGAATCAGTGGAAAGAAAGATCTTGAAGCTTTCTTTTCACTCCTCCCTTATTTTTTGATGAATAGCAGATTGGAGGATTGCCCCTTTTGCAAAAAAAAAAAAAAAAAAAAAAAAGTTATCCCAAATATAATCATTTAGAAATGAAGCTTCAAGCCATTCCTGCTTCATGATATGACTCTGAATTCTACCAGGTTGTATAACGTCATGCCACTGTTGTGTTATCAGCAAATATTGTCTTTGACACATTGCTCTGTAGTTCAGTGCATGAATTCACACTTTTCAGTGATGACTTAAGAAATGTACAAGAGAAGACATCAAGGCAATAATCAAGAACCCTAAACTCATTTAAGGCTCTGCTGAGAATAAAGCTTGAAAGAAGCTGTTTTGTTTGTTGTTTTTTTTTTTTTTTCCTTCCCCTAGACTACAGCATACTTGCCCAAAAGAAAGATTAGTCAAGTTCATATTTGCCTCACACAGATAGAGCTTCAGACTAGTATACTCATCCAGAGCAACACAATGCAAAATTCGATCAAGGTTTTTTCCTAGTGAGCAAAATCCCAATCAGACCATCTGACACCAGGAGCAGTGAGGTGACTTCTAATCCAAAATGATGAAAAAGCCAAAGCATTCCCTCTGAACATCTAAAACTGTAAGTGGGTATTATGCTTAGTGACTGTATAGTAGAAGCTTCAAGAAGAGACCGAAGGGCATTTCTTCAGAGGAAGGATGACATCAGATGTCTTGAGGGTAGAAGTTTTTTGCTCTATAAATTTTATTTAATTAAAATGCAGCCAAGTCATTTCTGACAGTCAAAACTTAGATAAAATTAGGAAAGTGCAATGCTGAAGAGGCTCTGAATGACAAAGCATCTACCTCAGTAATTCTCCCTAAAACACAATAGTCACAATAAAAATGAACAGGTCATAGTAACGCTAGTTATCTGTGATGAGGAAGCCCTTCGCCACAAACAGAGAAGAAAAAGAAACAAGAGAAATAGCCAACTAAACTAACAATGTTTGAGAAAACAATAGAGACTATTCAAGTCTAACTAGACTGCTGAACCACACCCACATGACAAGGCTGCTACCAGTTCCCCCTTGCATGGTCTTTCTCCTCTCTAACAATGGCAGGTTTCTGATCTCTGCTTTCATCAGACCAGAACAAAATAGATGTTACAAAATCATGTTTCAATTGAGCTTAAACTATAGGGTCCAGCAATAGTTTCCTTTGTGTTTCATACCGCTATTATGGCAACAGGGTTTTTTTCCCTTCTCCATGTGCACCGCTATCTATTTTATTAGAAACTACATCAATAACTTAAAAACTCTAGTTATTTCATTTGTCTCTTTCTTAAGACAGCAATACATGAAGGTATCACAAATAAACATTGAGTCATAGCAGCCTGTAGCTGGACAATAATGAGGCTGAACACTCAGATATTAGCCTTGTTACCTATATGTTTTTATTTGTTTAAATATAGATACCAGTGTGTATTTAAAGCTTAGGTCCTGAAAAAAAAAAAAAAAAAAAAAAAAAGAAGAAAAAAAAAAGTAGCAAACAGAAAGTCTCATTGCTGAAAGTTAGACACAATAGGCACAGATGCATTCCTGCTCGGAGAGAATTTGCTAGCCAGAGGAAAAAATCCCCGAATTCCGTCGGTTTGATTTCACGGTGAAGGAGAACCGTTTGCTCGGGAGCTGAGGGGGAAAAAACAGAAAAACTGCCCTAACCCAAACGCGTTTTTCAGCGGCGGCGCGGGTGCCCTTTGTCCGCTCTGGGCTGCCATAGGGACCGCAGTGCGGACTGCACCACACCCACCCGTCGGTGTCTCCGAGCAGACGGAGTTGGCAAGCATCTGGTTCTTGCCGGAGCCCTAGCGCTTCCACCCCGACAATGGCGAGGAGGAGGCTCACCGACCTCGCCCGCCGCCAGCAAGCAGAGCGGGGGTTGAAGAACGGCGCACGCTGAGACGACTGTGGATCTTTGTACGGCTGGCAGCGAGGAGCCGCCGCCGTAAGCCTCAGGGGGCTCACCCCGTAGCCTCTGACCGCCGCACCCCGGCGCTCGTACGCGACCGGGCGGGAGGGGGAATAGGAGGGACGTGCAGTCAGGCGGGACGATAATCCCCTCATAAAATGATAAGTGAACAGATTTTGCAGCTCATGTTTGTGTTGTTCCTCCCCTAGCTCCCTACAACCAGCAAGGGGTCGACGGTAGATGTGAGTGGCCGCCCATGCTCCGCGACGCCCCGGCTCGCCCCGCGGTGCAGCCGCGCCTGCGGCCGTCCTGCACCTTGCCGCCGCCTCACCTCGCTCGATGTTGGCGATGGCCTGCCGTAGATGCTCCTCAGTCACCAGCTCGCCGATAACCACCAACAGGTAAAATTTGTTGTCCAGGAAGCGGTGTGAAAGGCTGGACGAGGTAGGGTTGGGGATGCTACAAGATGGCTCCGAGTCTATTTCCACCACCACAGTGGCCATCACGGTTGCCCGCTCCACCCCGGGGCTCTGAGGGGAGGAGGGCCGCTCGGTGATAGATCTGCAAGTGGCAGGGACTGAGATCAACTGGAAGGGTGGTGACGCTTTTATACGGAGACAGTGCAGGGCAGGGACCTAGCAACTAGGAGGAGGAGGAAGGGGGGGAGCTGGTACATCCCTGCACTGCCACTGCCGCTTTTCCAGCATCCACAGCTGATGTCATCTGCAGTAAATCCTCCCTGAAGCAGCCCCTGGAAGCAGGAAGGATGCGGGATGCGAACATTGCCCCGAAGGGGTACTGTGGGGACAGCCTTGGAGTGTGCCCTGGCCTGCAGCAGGACCTGTCTGGGACTGGGGGCGAGGGCCTCTTCCTTTGGCACCGTCTGCTTTGGTGCAGTTTCCACCTCCCTTTCTCCCCCTGTGCCCTTCAGGGTTCTCACCCTCCCAGTTTGGTCGTTCCTTGTTGTTTGTTCCCTCTTGGTCTTACTCTGCTGGCTTAGCCATTCCTCACTCCTCAAGGCCTTCCTAAGATCTCAGCCTGTGGCTTGGCTGTCCTGGAAGCCTGGTGGCTATGCCATGAGGAGCCACAGGTGATCCCTGGCAGACCTCATTAGTTCATCTAATTAGTTTATCCTCCCCCTCTACTCTGCCCTGGTCAGGCCTCACCTGGAGTACTGTGTCCAGTTCTGGGCTCCCCGGTACAAGAAAGACAGGGATCTCCTGGAAAGAGTCCAGCAGAGGGCTACAAAGACGATACAGGGCCTGGAGCATCTTCCTTATGAGGAAAGGCTGAGAGACCTGTGTCTGTTCAGCCTGGAGAAAAGAAGACTGAGAGGGGATCTCATCAATGTGTATAAATACCTGAGGTGTGGGAGACAGAGGGATTTGGCCAACCTCTTTTCAGTGGTTTGTGGGGACAGGACAAGGGGCAATGGCCACAAAATGGAGCACAGGAAGTTCCGCACCAACATGTGAAAGAATTTCTTCACGGTGAGGGTGATGGAGCACTGGAACAGGCTGCCCAGGGAGGTTGTGGAGTCTCCTTCTCTGGAGATATTTAAGGCCCGTCTGGACGCCTACCTGGGCAGCCTGCTCTGAGGAACCTACTTTGGCAGGGGGGTTGGACCTGATGATATTTCGAGGTCCCTTCCAACCCCTTTGATTCTGTGATCTGGAAAAGCTGGCATTGGGGCTCCAGCTGCACTCCTGACTGAATAAAAAAAGCAGCTCAGTTGTCTAAGGCCACGAGTCCAGTCTCCTGCATCTTACTGTAACACTGCCACAAAATTTGAGCCGTGTTTTTCCCCCCTCACAACTGGCAATCTAAATATTCTTCTTATTTTTTTTTCTTTTGGAAGCAGGTTTTTACACGTATTCAAGGCCCATGGATATATTTGACTCACCCTAGAAAAGCACTGTTTCTGGACTAGCTGATAAAATCCATAATTTTAAGGCTCCAAAAGTTCAAAGGGCTTTGAGTAACTTTTTTTTTATTAGGTTTGAGCAACTCTAGGGAGCAGTAGTATCAGAAAACATCTACAATTACAGAAACAAAGGCTGGATCCCTCTTGATTACCATGTAAATATTAGACATTGGCTTTCTGATACTCACTGAGACCCACTTGAGAGAAACCCAGTCACCTTCTAATTGTGCGTTATTTTCCCCTAAAATGGGATAGAGCAGTCTAAAATAAATCTGGTCTCTGGAGTATGGAAATGTACTGGGTCTGGCTGGGGTGGAGTTAATTTTCCCTGTAGCAGCCCATACAGTGTTGTGCTCTGCACTTGCAGCTAGAACAGCATTGGTATCACACCAGTGTTATGTCTACTGCTGAGCAATACTGGCACAGCATCAGGACTCCCTCTAACCCCCCAGGAGCCAGCAGGCTCTGGGTGGGCAAGAGGTGAAGAAGGAACATCACCAGGGCAGCTGACCTAAACCAACCAAAGGGATATTCCATAACATATGATGTCACACTTGGCAATAAAAGGTGGAAAAAGGAAGGCGAGGGGAGGGGTGGGGTGGGCTCTCGTGAAAACGTCTGTCTTCCCAAGCAACATCTACATGCGTTGAGGCCCTGCTTCAAGGACATGGTCAAGTATCACTTGTTGGTGGGAAGTAGAGAGTAATTTCTTTCCTCTGCACTTCCATACAGCCTTTTCTTGTTGTTTTTTTCCCCTTTAGTTAAATTTTTAAATTAATAATATTTTCCCCTTAATAATTATTTTTCCTTTAATTAAATTATCCTTATATCAACCCGTGAGTTGTTTCTTTCCTTTTCTTCTTCCCTTCCTCTTCTGAGGAGGAGAGTGAGAGAGCGGCTGTGGTGGAGTTCAGCTGCCTAGCAAGGTAAAACCACCACAGGAAGGAGCTTTCTAAGGGGACTTGCTAACTGGTTGCAAAATGGAGTGATAGTGGTTCTTGAACATTAAGGTAAAACCATTACTTGCCTCACAAGCACAGCAGATTAAATGTGTTACTCTGAGAAATACATGCCAGTGCACAAAAGACATTATATATGCTTTTTAGCACTTTTTTGTTTTAAGAAAAAATGAAATTATACATAACTGAAAAAATGTCCATGGATTTGAAGAGCAAAAGGCAAAATGGATATATTTTGTGTTGTGATTTAACCTGGCCAGCAGGTAAGCACCACACAGCATTCACTCCACCCTCCCCCCCAGGTGGGTTGGGGGAGAGAATCAGAAAAAAGTAAAAGCTTGTGGGTTCAGATAAAGACAGTTTATTAGGAAAAAATAAAATAATGATAATAGTAATAATAGTGAACAAAACAAGTGATGCACAATGCAAACCCTGCTGCTAGGGGATGGGATGGGCATCAGTCAGTGGGCCCACCATCTGCTGACCAATGCCCAGCCCATCCCTGAGCAGCAGTCCCCCCCAACCCTGGCCAGCCACCCCATATTAATTGCTCAGCGTGATGTCATATGGTATGGAATATCCCTTTGGCCAGTTTGGGTCAGCTGTCCTGGTTCTGTCCCCTCCCAGCTCCTTGTGCACCCCCAGCCTGCTCACTGGCAGGGTGGTATGAGAAGCTGAGAAGTCCTTGGCTTAGCATAAGCACTGCTTTGAAACAACTAAAACATTAGAGTGTTATCAACATTATTCTCATCCTAAATCCAAAACACAGCACCATACCAGCTACTAGGAGGAAAATTAACTATTCTAGCCGAAAGCTAGACATTATGTCAAAGACGAAAATGCTTGCATGCAGGTAGGTAATACATATAAATATTTGAAATAGCCTCCTGAGGTAGTCCTCTATTTTATATTGTGCTGTAAAATAATATGCATCTAGAATAGAGTATAAAATGTGAACTGTTACAGTCAAACTGTATGATGATGGGACATATTTCACACATTAAAACCTTAAGGAACAAGAGGCTACATTTGGAAGAAAATGGTCTTGCACTAAACTCTTTAAGGGATGCAGACCTCTGCCCTCATGTATTCACAAGCATATGCCACTTCATCTGAGATAAAAGTCAAAGAAGAAAAGATGCTTTAACCTTATGGATGCATCTCTGAGAAAGCTGCAGGTTCTCAGCTCCATTGGTAGTATTCACACTGTAACTTGCCCTACTGGAATCTCACTTCAGTAGTTTTGTTTGTCATCATCTTTATGTATCTGGAAACCCATTTATAGGGTGAGTGAGTCCTGCTGATCACTCCTTGGCTTTCCAGCTGATGAACCAGCTCATGGATGGGAATCAGGGATTCTCGGTTGGTGTGATATTGCTGCCGGTGCACAGCTGTGGTAGCGACTGGCACCTGCTGTTTTTCAACCCTCAGCAAACCCCACAACAGAGGGGTCTTCTGAGAGGTCAGGCAGGGTAGACAGCTGCTTAATCTTCTCTGTACTTAAGGCAGCTATGCCAACAGCCCACTGGTACACTTTTTGGGTCCTTGAAATATCCTCTCCTGAGGTAGTCTATGCCAAGGTTGCAAGGAGCCTCCAGGCCAGTCACAATAGGGTGCTTTTGCCACTCATTCCCAGTTAGACTCACTTCAGCCTCCAATACAGTTAGCTGTTGGGATCCCTATCGCTCCAGAAATACAGAGGGTTTCTGCCCCTTGGTAGCCTGATGGCATTAGGGTACACTGTGTGCTGGTGTCTGTTAGAGCATTCTACTCCTGCGGGTCCAATGTGCCAGGCCATCAGATCCACGTAGTCCAGTAAATCCAGTTATCCCTTTCCTCTGCCTGTCCAGAGGCAGGGCCCCTCTAGTCCTGGTTGGAGTATCCACTTGCTGTTTTTGGTGGTTTTACCCAGCTCAGCAGCTGAACTCCACCACAGCCACTCTTTCACTTCCCCGCTTCAAAGGGAAAGGAGGAGAAAATATGATGAAAAGGGCTCAAGGGTTGAGATAAGGACTGGGAGATCACTCAACAGTTATCATCACAGGCAAAACAGACTCAGCATAGGGAGATTAACATAATTTATTGCCTATTACTAACAGACTAGAGCAGTGAGAAACTAAAAGCAAACTAAAAACATCTTCCCCTCCATCCACCCTCTTCTATATCGTCCTCCTGAGCGACACAGGGGAATGGGGGTTGCGGTCAGTCCATAACACTTCATCTCCACCCCTGCTTCATGGTCACTGTCATCCCCTGTTTCAACGTGGAGTCCCTCACATGGGGTACAGTCCTTTCTGAACTGCTCCTATGCGGGCTTCCCACAGGCAGCAGCTCTTCAAGAACTACTCCAATATGTGTCTGTACCTTGGGGTCCGTCCTTCAGGAGTAAACTGCTCTAACATGGCTCCCCCATGGGCAGCAGCTCCTGCCAGGTCACCTGCTCCTGCATGGTCCCTTCTCCACAGGCTACTGGTCCAGCCCTGATTCTGCTCTGGTGGGGGCTCTCCATGGGCAGCAGACTCCTTCTAGCCAGATCTACTTGCTCCACCGTGGGCTCCTCCACAGGCTGCAGTATGGAAATCTGCTCCACCATGGTACACCACGTGCTACAGGGGGACAACCTGCTCCACCATGGTCCTCTCCAAAGATCACAGGGGAACTTCAGCTCTGGCACCTGGAGCACCTCCTCCCCCTCCTTTTTCACTGACCTTAGTGTTTGTAGGGCTGTTTCTTACTTCTCTCTTCCAACTGCTGTTGCGCAGCAGTTTTTTCCCCTTTCTTAAATATGCTCTCACAGAGGCTCAACCAACATTACTTGTTGCCT